ATGAAAGAGCTAATGACAAGATGCATTGGAGAACAAATTAATAACACACTTTCAAAAGTTGATGATATGGATGAATTTTTATATTGTCAAAAGTCACATTGGAGATGCTCTAAAGAGGTGATGTGGCTGTTAAGCTTTTGTTTATTAATGGGAATACATTTTTCTTTGTGCTCAAATGATTGGAACTTTTTGTCCTTCCAATTAAATTAAAAAAAGACCATCCAAAATAGTGCTCGTTTAGTAAACGAGCCGGTTCGATCCGACTTGACTCGACTTACTCATTTTTTTTTGTGTCACTCAACAATCGATCCGTTTTGACTTCAATGGACACACAATTAAAGACCCAACTGACCTCGTGCACTATTACTAGGCGATCGGCACCCAAGCTGGACAGCACCCAAGTTTTCGCTACATTCACTGCACAGACTACACATTTAATTATCAACTCTCTGTTTCTCTCTTACAAGTTACAACTAGCACAAAGAAGGATCTCGTCTAGTTGTACCATCCTAAATCATTAATACCGAATTCTACGAATAAATCATCCAAAGGTAGGGTATAATAAGATCGACACAATACCATGATCCATTGAAATGAGTTTCCTATATGTGGAATACCTTGTCAATATTCTATAGTTCTGATCACCGTGACCATCATATCGAACACGAGCACGAGCACGAACACGAACACAACCTTATCCACAAACCACGAACAAGCGTCACGAACGGGGATTATTGGTTTACTGGTATTGCTCAACTAAATCTCATTATGGGTCTTCATTTTTATTCTTGATGGAGACATATTAAACTACATGTGATTTAGTATATTTAATGCTATAACCAAAAAGATGTATATATATAGTAAGGTGTGATTGGATGGATATTATTTTGGAAAAGAAAAAGAAATGTAAGAACATTGGTTTGGCATCGTCCGACAAACCGTAGTGTTTTCTAGAAGATTTCTTGTTAAGCAAACAAAATAAATTAAAGGCAAGTTTTTCTATTTATTTATTTGTGATTTAATTAAGTTCCTAATGTTTATTATTGATAATGTATGGTATATATTCATTGTAGTATGTGTTATGGAATCTTAATCCTTTAGGAGAAGGATTACATAATATATATCTTATATATTTACGTACTATATATGCCACATGCCATAATTAGTTATCTCTTTCTTGTAGGACAACGAATAGGTGACAAGGACTATGAAAGGATGAGCTATCCATACAAGAAGAGTTCTAGACGTTCATGAGAAGATCTAAGGAGGATTTGGAAAGATTCACCGCAAGATCTTTGAAGATTTGGAAGATCGGCTATTTTTGGAAAGTCATATTCTTACCCGATTATGGGAACGCAAGATTCCATTTGAAGTTCAATTCTGAAAATCTCCAATCACATGCACAATTTCTACATCAAGGAAACTTACCTTACATGAAGGATTTCGTCCAAATCAAAAAGCAATCAATTGTGAAGGAAATTGACTCCAAAAAGGAAAAGAAAGAACCTGGAGAAGACTCCATACCCAAGGTGTTGTATATATACCCTAAGCATTTATCAGGAGTCAAAACACTACCCAGTGTAGAACTTGACAGTAATAGCTTTAATTCTGTACGCCATAAAATAATTGCCAAAACTCTAAATCTACTCAAACCTACATATAGCATACATTACAAATCAAACCAATAGTTACCGCAACATAAAAAATACTTTACATATAATATGACATTAACCTTTAGCTTTCACCTACTTTTTGTAGGATGGAAACAACCATAACTTATACAAGATAGCTAAAACAACATGAGCAAATAACAATTAAACAAATAACCTAAATTTGCAAACATTCATTCATCGATTAACAATAAATTAGCACCTCAACTTAGTGTCCGCAGCCGAGACTCCATAAGAAGCTATAAATTCCTTTCCCAGAAATATACAGTAGATGTCCAACCACCAAACACTCTGAAAAATACAAAAATCAAATCCCAAAGTGGAAAAAATGTATATAATTGTTTCACCTATATGTATAATTCAGGCAAAAAGTGAAAAAGGAAAAAAAA